TTTTAGATTTAATACAAGTTTCACATTTTTTAAAGTTATTAATGTCACATTGTATCAAACCACATTTAATAATTCTTTTCATGGTATCAACTATTTTAGGGGCCCATTTTTTTTAATAACCTAAAACTTCACTTACGATAGACCATTCCAGACGACGGAAGAACAACAGTGCCATAGTGGAAACTGGAACTGGTACTGACGCTGCTGGTGGTTCTTCAACTCTACCACTTCTGTGGATTTCTTTGCTTGGGCTGTCAAACAGACTTTCAATCTTGGTGACTATTTAAGTAAGTTTATGCTATACTAATTTTTGATTTTTTTAAAAATTAAATATGAGTTTTTTAGTTTCAAGATTTCTGGTTTGATCGTACTATTTGATTTTTGATCTGGGATTTCTTGCCCTGAATTTTCTTGGCATTTGCTTCCGTTGGGTATATAGAATGGTTTGGTTGCGATTAGTAATCTCTGAATTTCAAGAATTCTTCGAGGCATCAATTTTGAGTTTGAAACCAACTAGATTCACATCATGTAATTTGCACATTCTCTCATAAAATTGCCTTTTCTCTTCAGTTCCTGTATAGTTCGACAATCTGGAAGGTCCGAATAGGGCCGTAACTATTGGCTATTCTATTGGCTATTGCAATTTGAATCAAATGTCAATTTCCTTAAGCCACTATTCAAAGCCTCTACCTTGATTCTTGAATATATCAGTAATCTAGAATGCTATGTGGTGGTTTGCTAATGTAACTTTATAGTTTGAAGTTATATTTGGTAATGGTGTTTATTTGAAGCTCGTGGGACTGCTAGTGGCCTTTGCAATCAAGAAATAATTGTTTTTCGATCTTGGAATTGACTTTGCAAGTAGAGAAAGCTGTTGATTAAGAGAACTTTTTTTGTACTTAATTTTTTGTAAGTAGTCCACTTGACAACTCATTTTCACATTAGAATCATTATTGGTGGGGGCTTATTATGATTTAAAGAATGCATATTATATTTCAATCTTGAAATTGACTTGGGAAGTACAAAATGCCTGTAAGTATAGGTAGAAAGCTTCTACACAGTCAAGTAATCAGAATTATTTTGAGCTTCATTATTATTGGGAAGCAATTCATTAGTTCTAGACTATCTAGTTTAATTTATGTGATAATGAATCAATGATATCTCATGTAATGTTAATTTATGTGATTGATTAATGATTAGTGATTACCTCACTGTTGAGAAGTTTAAGCACAAAGTAATCAAGCAAGAAAAATGGATGCTTAATAGTTTGAATATTTTATTTTTATTTGTTGCTTTACTAATGAATTTAGGTTAACAATTTTAGTTTCGTAGGACTCTCATAAATGAAAAAAAATG